ATTGTTATAACATGTCTTCTTTATAATTTTTTTTTGTTATAACGGGTCTTCCCACAATTTTACTTTGGTGGTGAATGACTTAAAAAGTTAATAACTGTTTGATTTTAAGCAAAGCTTCTTTTTCTTTTGATTGCTGCACTCATTGTATGGATACAAAATTTTAACTCAAAAAGTTATTTTGTTTTCATAAAAGGAAGCGCCAGCATATTTCACCTTTTGTCTATTGTTTAATCTCTTGGTAGAAAAATACTATAGCTGGTTTGATTGTGATGGGAAATATAATGTTAGTACCATTAGTTAAATCAGTTTGCTGCATTCCTCCCCTCCCCCCCTGAAAAGAAAACTTTCATTTATCTTCCGTTTGTCTTCTCTCTATCTTAAAGTATCAGATGCAGGAGATAAGGTTTGATACTCTTTCGTTTTTCCTCCTCAAATATGGATGTTAAGATGGAATTTTACAATAATAATAATCACTCAATTAGTATTGCCATAGTGACAGTTTATGTAATGAAGATTATATTTGTTAGCTCTGAGATATAAGTACTTCACTTCTGAAGTTTGTTGGCTTATTAATGCACATACACGGCACAGGTTCTTATTCCAGCTCCCTATTGGGTGAGTTACCCTGAAATGGCAAGGATGGCAGATGCAATGCCTGTGATTCTTCCGACCAGCATATCCGAAGATTTTCTATTAGATCCAAAGCTTCTTGAATCTAAACTGACTGAAAAGTCAAGACTTCTGATTCTTTGTTCTCCATCCAACCCAACAGGGTCTGTTTACCCTCGGAAATTGCTTGAGGAGATTGCTGAGATTGTGGCTAGGCATCCGAGGCTTCTTGTAGGTTCATCATGTCTAACTCGTCCTAAATATGATCCGAATCTGTTCTTTGAATCTGAACTACCCCCTTCCCGCCCCACAAAAAATACTTTCTGGTCTGCAGGTGATATCAGATGAAATTTACGAACACATTATTTATGCACCAGCAACTCATACCAGCTTTGCATCTTTGCCTGGTATGTGGGATAGGACTCTCACTGTAAATGGTTTCTCTAAGGTAATGCAGCTCTTATTATATGAACATTATAATTCCTTAGTTCTCCCTTGCTTTTGAATTCCTTGGCAATGACTATTTCTTTTACAATTATGGGAATATATTTCTGGAGGTGTGCCTTATAATTTATGCATTCTTGTAGGCCTTTGCGATGACTGGTTGGAGACTTGGCTATATTGCTGGTCCTAAACACTTTGTTTCTGCATGTAATAAGTTACAGAGCCAGGTAATATATTTTGTTCTTAATAAGTTTATCGACTTAAATGAATGTGGTATTTTTCCTTAGGAACTCTGGTTAACAAGTTAACTGGTCTGGAAACTGAGTTTCATCGTTGGATTTTGTTTAACATGATTGACAAAACCAGTTTTCATCCGACCATACTTATTTTGGTGTGTCTAATGTATCCGTTGAAGTACTTTCCTTGAATGTGGTCTTTTATTTGACCAGAATATATACCTATTCAATATAGACCCATGGATAATAGTAAAAGAAGTGTGTCTAAATAACAGTTATCCAGTGTCTATTCCCCCTATGCGAGAGTTCACTTCTAAATATATTTCTCTGCTGTTGCAGTTCACGTCAGGTGCAAGTAGCATCTCACAAAAAGCAGCTGTGGCTGCTTTGGGACTGGGCTATGCTGGTGGAGAAGCAGTTGCAACTATGGTAAAAGCATTTCGTGAGCGGCGAGATTTCCTTGTCAAGAGCTTTGGGGAAATTGATGGTGTCAAAATTTCAGAGCCTCGGGTAACAGTCCAGTTGTATGAATTATGAGTGTACCTAATAATAAATTTTCTTCACGGAGGACTTCAAAAGTAGAGAAACAGGATTATATGCATCGAGTAGTTGTAAACTCTGCTCACTTTTTTCCTTTTTGCACTCTTACCCCTGATATATTGAGCCCAAACTTCCTGTTTTCTTTTGCAGGGAGCATTTTATCTATTTATTGATTTAAGCTCTTATTACGGAGTAGAGGTTGATGGATTTGGCACCATCAACAACTCAGAATCTCTTTGCCGATATTTGCTGGATAAATCTCAAGTAAGATTCATCATTTATGAACTTTAATAAGCATAGCCACAAAACAATGTATGAGCAGGATTTTTAGTTACCTATAGGACCAAAGTTGCTTGCACTAAAAATAAATTTGAGGATACACTCTCTTGACCTTGGTTCAGAAAATATGGATACTGCAGCTTTCAAACAACTCTTAATACTGACCATGAGAGCATTATCTACTTGAGCATCTAACCTGTGGATTCTGCAGAAAAGTTTTCCTTCTTAACTATGTCATTCTCGATTGTTAGGCAAATATAATCTGGTCAAAATCCAGAAAGACAATCCTAGAAAAATCTGACTGCTGTAGCTCCTTACTAGGGGCAGAACTATGGGGGTTAATCGTTAGAAAGTTTACACGGTATATATAAGGTCAATTCATTTGTCAGTGTATAGATATTAAGTTTTGAATCCCCTTCACATAATATGAACTTTAGCTCAGCAGCTGAGGTCTTAATGTTTAGCGCATTGTTGCAGATTCGATTCTCTCTAGAGAAATATTCTTTTTACTTTTTTTTGAATAAAGGGGGGCAACCCAGTGCACTAAAAGCTCCCGCTATGCACAAGGTTCGGGGAAGGGCCCGACCACAAGGGCCTATTGTTCGCAGCCTTACCTTGCATTTCTGCAAGAGGCAGCAGATTTATGAGTTACTCCAAGGCTCCCCTTCTTGTTACTTCTTTGAATCCATTGACAAAAAGTTCTAGCTCCGCCCCTGCTCCTTGCCTCTCATTTCTATTCTCCATTTCCCTAATGCATGTGCCTCACTCTTACCTTAAACAGGTTGCGCTTGTCCCCGGGGATGCATTTGGGGATGACACATGTATCCGTATCTCCTATGCAGCATCGCTTTCGACCTTGCAGGCAGCTGTGGAGAGAATCAAGAAAGCATTGGTTACTCTCAGACCTCCTGTCCCAGTGTAAAACATGAATTACTAATATTTGCTTATTTGGGATGTGCTACAGCCAAACATGCATAAATAATATGTAGTCTGACCCAACCCTCCATGTTCTCTCATTTTATGTATTCTTAAGTGCATTCCTGTACACTGACATTGTTAATTTGTGTGCAATTTCTCAGTTGATGATTGAAAATGAAAATAATCGAGTGATATTTATCTCTAAAAAAATTTATGAGTCAGTGATGTAGAATTAGTCACAATCTTGCCCCTCAACTATTAATTTGTACTTAACTATGCCCTTCGTAGCCCTTAAACGTGTTAGATATGTTCTTAAGTTTCAACCTTGTAGCTTTCTAATTATGTTCATGCTGGGGCGTTATAGTGTCCGAAGGTTCCTTACCAGCAGAACCGACATGCGACATGGCGAGGAATGGGTCACGCGCACCTATTAACTTCGAGAACAATTCTCTTTCTATATATATATATATATAGTACTCCTTTGTTCCTTCGTAGATGTGATGTTGTGCATTTCTTAAGTTAAATTGACAAATTCTTAAAGCTAAATTAGGTTACTTAATATAAAATGTGAGACATTCAAAAAAATGTGAGACATTCAAAAACTATATGAAAAATACTTTTCACTTTCACCACTATTTACTATTTTTTTTTCATAAGGCTCGTGAGACCTTTGATTAAGAGTTGCCAAATCCTATTCAATCCCACAGCTTTTGTGGTGTGACATGAAAATTCAATTGACGACATCTCATTTGATAGATGTAATTTATATATTTCATATTTTTATTTATTATTATCTTATATTTCGTTAAAGGAAGTAGTTTTATGAATTATAAAAAATTTAGACATAATTTAACGGATCAAAAAAGAGTTAACGTGTGATAAGGTACCATGTGAGCATGCGTTGCCAACTTTTTCTGTTAACTAACGCAAGGGAACAGGGGATTACTTATCTTATTGGACTTCCTTTTGTTTCAATTTCTCATTAATTGATAAAAGAAAAAAAAACTATTTTAATATTTTTAAACCCCCCAAAAAGGCAATATTGATTGAATGTTTTTATATTACTATTCAAAACGTGTAATCTTTCTTTTCTTATTATGTTCATTTTGAGTCCAATGTAAAGTTATACTTTCTCGAGTTAAAATTTATTTAGCCTAACCAAACATTTTTAACTTTTCAGAAATACTTTTATAAAGTTGTACTTTCTTTATACTCTCTCCGTTTTAAAAAGAATGACCTGATTTGACTTGAAACAGTATTTAAAAAAAGGAAGAAGACTTTTTAATCTTGTGGTTCTAAATTAAAGTTATGTCAAATGTACCAAAACGCCTTTTAATCTTGTGGTCTTAAACATGCCACATGAAAAGTTAAAGTTGAAGTGTCATCAAAACAGGAAATGAGTCATTCTTTTTGAAATAAACTAAAAAGAAAACATGAACATTCTTTCTGAAACAGAGAAAGTACTATACTTCTTCCGCATGTGACATAGTTTGAATTGACGAAGAGTTTAACAAAGAAATGATTTTTGAAAATTTTGATATAAAACATGACATAACATTTGTGTGTGACTATATATAAAAGTATTGAAACTTGCGATCTTAAACATGTCATAACATTTGTGCGATAATAAAATCAAATTTCTCAATAAGAATAAAATAAGAAGCATGAAATTAACAATACAATATGTTACATTATAAAATAATACGTAATAATTTCTCCAAACTACTATCAGGTTGACAAAACCATGGAGAGTAGGAGAGGGAATGATACCTATCTAACTGGAATTCCCTTTAAAAGGATATCATCAAGTAGAAGCTAAGGACAACTTTGTACAAACACCAAAACTTAATCTAACTTGATTTACAATACAATCTACCAATTAATGTCATGAAAGAATATTCTTCAATCTTTACATTCTTTGATTTTTTTTTCCATATATATATATATATAACACAAATGGACCATCATTTCCATCACTTTCATCAAATAACAACTTGTTCAACCCCTAAAAGGCAAAAAAAGAGAGTAAAAAATGGCAACTCCTAACATATCAATCAACAAAAGGTCCTCAGAGATTGTGTTTTTCGACTTGGAAACAAACGTTCCATCGAAACCTGGACAGAAATTTTGGGTGTTGGAGTTTGGTGCAATGGTAGTTTGTTCAAGAAAGCTCGTTGAACTTGAGAGCTACTGCACCCTTATTAGGCCAGGGGATTTGTCAGTTGTTGGATTAAAGTCAGGGAGAGTCGGTGGTATTACGCGAAAAGCAGTTGCTGATGCACCTTCATTTGAACATGTTGCACAAAAGATCTTCAACATTTTGGATGGTAGGATTTGGGCAGGTCATAACATACAGAGATTTGATTGTGTTCGTATTAAAGCTGCTTTCGCTGAAATTGGTTACCCTGCACCTGTGCCTGTTGGAATTATCGATTCCTTAGGTGTTTTATCTGAGAAATTTGGTAAAAGAGCTGGAAACATGAAGGTACACCATGTACATTTCACTCGATATAAAGTTCAGTTTTGATGATTATTGCTTCTTAAATTATTCGTTATTGTAGATGGCTTCGTTAGCAGCTTACTTTGATCTCGGGGAGCAAAAACACAGGTTAGACTCAAAAGCTTAAACTTTATGGTTAAAAAAAATTATGAAAATGGATCCTAATTTGGATTGTTTAACGTGAATGGCAGGAGCTTAGACGATGTTCGGATGAATTTGGAAGTCCTAAAACATTGTGCAACAGTTCTATTTCTTGTATGTTTTTGTAACTTATCTTATCGTGGCAAAACTACTTCCAAGTTTGATTATATATATTTTGCTTAATCGCGATTCATTTCTACTGTTAGGAATCAAGTCTACCAGATTTGTCAATTGGGAACTGTCAAGGCACAACCAGCATTACTACAAGAAGTAGAAGCCAAGTGGTATGTATGCATATTGATCAAATTAAATTGATCTAAGAAAAGAAAACTTATGAGGTTATTTTTTCTTATCAGCAAAATATTCCAAGTTCTCCGATCGATAAGTGGCAGAGTAGTCCTTCCTCAATAACAACAAGGAGTAGTAGCAGAGGGAAATTTCCGTGCAGAGAAGAAACAAGCCGGAAATCTCCTCCATCGACAAGTGCTGTTGGATATCAAAGAACTGTTCCTTATGCAAGACAGAGCTTGGGAAAGGTTCATTTTTCGTTTAACTCTTTACTATATGCATATGATGGTATTAGTTCATTTTCTGACTTTGGAATTATTGGACTATTCATTAGGTGACTGCAGGTGTGAGGAACTTGTTGTGTAAAGCTCAAAACAAGCCTCTGAATACTTTACTAAAGCATTCGCAGACTCTCTTCTGATGAACAAGAAGAATCGATCCTTCTCTCATTTATCGGAATTCAAGCATAAGGGGTGCATATATACCTACAAGTTCACTTTCTTGGAAAATGCCTGGAGGAATTCTTTTTGGTCCACTATGTGCCTCTTGATGGAAAATTCACTCAGTTCCAAGTTAACGAATCTATATTCTTTGGTAACTGATTCTTCAAGTTGTGGAGTTCTCTGTAAATGTTTGTACCTCTCAATGAATAAATTTCAGCTGATATTCTTTGATTTGAGCCAAGTGAAAAGCTAGCTAACGTTCTAAAGATCGCGTTAAACTGGCATTAGATGTATGTAACTGAGCCCCAATGTAGGCGAAATTGACTCACATATGATACAGATTGAAGCATCAAACATACACATACACACAAAAGGAGAATCAAGTACTGATCGATTCACCATTGAGAACATTTACTTGCAAAAACACGAATATTATGGTGTTCTAACATTGGCAGATCAAACAAGAAGCATGTTCTTACTAGTCAAACATGCCTCAATGACTTCACTAATGTCAAAAGGACCTTCCCTTCAGTTTTCTTCAAAAAAATTGGTTAGCCTTAATTTGTGCATCACATGACACATTGAGTTGATTAGAGCCAACTGCAAAACAAACATAAACATTAACTGATTCATGTTGTGTATATTCAACAACATCATTTGTTCAGATATTTTTTGTTTACTACAACAAAATGTCATTATAGATATACCATGTCAAATTGGTTCCAAAGAAAACTTGACGTTGTTATAGTGAAATGTCGTTATAGAGAAATGAATTTTATAGAGAGGTTTGACCGTACATACTTCTTTTTCATTTTTTCTTTTTCACGTTGTAGACATATAATTGAAGAGGATTAATAGTCACCTGCATTCCATTTGATTCTAGGTCATTTTGCAGGTCCTCAAGAGTAGCTATGGTAGATTTGTCAATGTTGAGCAACTCTACATCCATCAACATTTAGAATTGACGATTGAGGATGTCATTTTGAAGTTGTCGTTAAAATAAAGTTATTCAACGCATATTTAAACTATTTGGCAATGTTCTTGACCAATTTTGGTGGATTTCAAGGGTTGAATTTCATAAGAGGCCAAATTCCAGTTTTTATACAAGTTTGTAAAATGTTTTGCGAATATATAAAGTATGTATAAACACATCTTATGCATTTTAGTATCAGTCAAGCGAAATTATCAGCCTTAATGATATTAATACAATATATGATATTGTTAAGCGAAAATTATCAGTCATAATAAATGAGGGGTATGAATTGTAATTTGGTTTTGAGAGAATGAGTTTTCTTTTTTGAATTACTTTATATTGGAGTATGTACATATAATTATTTTGAGTTTTATAACCCATTTATGTAGTTTTTCTGAAAGTAAAAATCTTATTTTTATCACCATCTTTTTATCTTTGCAAAACTTTTTATTACTCACTCAATTCCTGGCCCATATTAGTTGATAATTATATTAAAATTGATTGTCTCTTATTATTGATTTTTCCCATATTATTCTTGCAGTTAGTTCTTTTGTAAGTGTTGAAATTTATTTATAAAATTTTCAAGAAACTTTTTTTGGGGTGAATTAGTAAAATCATCTTCTTATTTATAACTTTTTAAGCATATAATATAGGGAAAACTAAGCAAATACCCCATAATGTAAAAAAAAATTACAAACCTAAACCCCTTTAATTCACAAACCACTACATAATTACACTATGTAACACCAACTAATTTGCTTTACTGATACTAAATCAATATCATTAAGGCTGATAATTTTGCTTAATTGATACTAAATTAATATATATATAATGTATTTATATTATTAGACTGCAAAAATGTATTGAAACCTTTTGTAGTTGTAATCTTGAGATTCAGTCGAATTACTGTTTTTAGTTGTGCATTATGATTCTCAAGACTTTTTATCCAAGTGGCCTTAAATGTCTTTACACAAGTGCAAGAAGTAGCCTAGTGTGCATTAAAAATCCTGTTCTTATTTACAGTCTTTATATCTTCACAAAGCTTTTTATTACTCCCTCAGATCGAGTCTCAATAATGCACCAAAAGCTACCTTAAAGTCTATTTTACTTGCAACAATTATTAATATGCTTTTTTTCTTCTTCTTTCTTATAGCTTACTCCACATTTAGATCTTGCAAGTCAAAATCCCTTTTGTCAATTGCCCCTCTTATTAGTAACAGAAAAAAATTCTCTTTAATGGAAAATACTAAAAAGTTCCCTCCTTTTTTCTTCTTTGTTCTCTTCTGTTGCTGCCTGCTTCTTCTACACATGAATTTCACATTTTGTACCATTTGAACCAATCTTGAAAAAAACAATTAAAGGAGCTTTTACCATTTTTCTTTGCATATTCATTTCAACTAAAGGAACTTTTACCATTTTTCTTGTTTTGTTTTTCCTATTTTGGTTGTATGATTGAACCAAAATAATTAGGGAATACTTGATTTAGTTTTTTATGACAGACGATTTCAAGGAGTTTTTCCCATGTTGAATAGCCTATTGATCAACATCAGAATTCAGATATATGGTTTTTGATCTTATATATATATGCTCTGTCACTGTGAAAGTATAGCGCAATATGTTCAGCAGAAGTGCACAGTGAGCAGTGCTCAAAGCATCTATTACCGATTGAAACTTCAAACACACACATATTACAACATGATATGATAGTGTTCAATTCAAGCTAGATTGAACACCACAACTTAATTTGTTCTTACAATACAATGACAGGGAGCAATAATAGTATTAGCTCCTTATTATTAGTGTCCTGTCGAATATACACACGCAAAAGGAGAATCAATTATTGATCGATTCACCATTGAGAACATTAACTTCAAAAAGACGAACATTGTGGTGTTCTAACTTTGGGCAGATCATTTCAAATAGGAAGCATGTTCTTACTAGTCAAACACGCCTCAATGGCTTCACCAATGGTCAAAAAGATCCTCCCTTCAATTTTCTTCAAAAAATTGGCTAGCCTTAATTTGTGTATCACATGCCACCTTGGGTTAGCTAGTGCCAACTGCAAAACAAACATAAACAATAGTTCATTCATGTTGTGTATATTCAACAATGTCATATGTTCAGATATTTTTTGGTTGCTACTACGAAATAATGTTAATTATAGATGTAACATGTCAAATCGGTTTCAAAGAATTCTTGACGCTGTTATAGTGAAATGTTGTTATAGAGGATGAATTTTATGGAGAGATTTGACCATACATACTTATTTTTCATTTTTTTTAGACATATAATTGAAGAGGATTGATGGTCACCTGCATTCCATTTGATTCTAGGTCATTCTGCAGGTCCTCAAGAGCAGCTATGCTAGATGTGTCAATGTTGAGCAAATCTACATCCATCAACATTTAATTGATTGAACGTTAGTCAAGAACTATATATAGACAATAACTTATGCCATTATAAATTACACTTTAGCTTGGACAATACTTACTTGACATGTCAAGAATAACTAGTTGCACTCTATTGTGATTAGCACTTTCTATGGCACCTGTATCTTGTTCTTCCAGTGCCAAGTTTAATATCCTGGAAAATAAACAACAAATTGAAGGCATTAGATCTCAGACATTTAATGGCAACTATATTCTTTACTTGTTACTATTTGTTAGTGTCAATATACTTATAATAACACTTGTAAATAATATTTTTGGGGCATGCATACCTTCCTCTAATAAAGTTTGCATTTGCAAAACAAAGCAAAGCAGATTTGACTCTAACAATAAGAGCCCCAGGAGTTGTTGTAGCTATGGGATATTGTTCCATATCTCCAAACAAATCACTTCCTGGAAGCCTTCCTAGTTTTTCTGTCCCAGGCTGGATTGAGTTCAAAATTATCTTTGCAAATGATATACCAACCTGAATCAAAAAATTTATTTAAAAACACCACAAGTTTCTTAGTTTTGTGATTATCGAAGAAAGCTTACATTACATACCGCAAGTAGAAGGCCAATCTCAACAGATACAAAAAGAACACCAAGAAAAGCAGCAGCACAAGCAAGAAAATCCATCTTATCAATTTTCCATATGTATTTTGCTTCACTTATGTTGATGAGTCCAGGCAAAGCAGACAGAATAATAGAAGCTAATATGGCTACTGGAGTGAAGTACAATAGCCTAGTGCAAAATTCAAGTGATATTAGCACTGTTATAGCCATCACTATGTTCGACACTGCTGTTTCACAACCAGCACTGAAATTCACTGCTGTTCTTGAGAATGACCCTGCATGCACCATGCAACTTTTTAGGGACCCAAGCGAGATTGTATCTATCACAAATACATATGAATCTATTTGGATACAATGAATCTACACCTAATTTTTACCCCATGTATCCTAACAAAAGGTCCTAGCCCAAACTGTTTCTACAAGGTCATGACTATTTATGGTTATTAACATATATTATCACCTCCATTTATTATTTAAATTAGGTAACTAATGTAAGTGAGTGCGATTAAATTGGATATCATTAGCTCTTGTATTGTATATATTCATTCACAGTATAAAAATACAAAAAAATACAAGATAGTAGGTTGATACAATGTAGTAATTTTTTAAAAAGTGAAGTATAGATATAGAATGTAATTTTTTAAAAAAATATAACTGTGATTATTAAATACGTAATACAATATGTTTGCTATATCATTAAAATTCCCTTAAAAGTACTTGTATTATATTTTTGCAATTTTACATTTAAATCATCTTGATTATGCATTTCATTGAAGTTGGGACTAGACAAATTTTGGTAAGTAACAAATATCAAGGAAAAATATTACTGAACAATTACAAACATTGTTGTTTGAAAATAATAGTAATAATAATAAGTATAAATAAAAAACTGACCAGTTGCAACATAACAAGAAGTTAATGATCCAGTAATGTTCATAACACCCATTGCCAACATTTCTTTGTTTCCATCAAGACGGTATCCTTTCATAGTTGCAAATGATCGTCCAACTGCAATAGCTTCCTGTACGTTCAACATTATTTTTTAGAAATTTAACAAACTACAAAACTACAATCAACCTTCACTATCACTAGTCATCATTTACAATAACCACCTTATATTACCACAATAACTACCACCAATGATCATTTAGTATCACTATCGCCAACTACGCCTGTCATCATTCACCACCATCACTAACTATCACTATCATCAACCACTAATGTTAGTCAAGTTAGTACTATCAACACCAGAACACCACCATTAGTCAATACTTAATACCATTGATTTCAAATTGACACTCACAACCATTAACCACCATCAACAACCATATAATTTTTGGAAAATATTTTATCAATTAATGTAGTATTTATTAAATTTTAAATAAATATATTTTTTTTTGCACATTCTAATGTTGAAAAAACAAACCATCTTTAGTAGACAATTCTTAACATATAGATATATATTCAGATTCAAGCATCTTAATCTTAATAAAACAATGCTTCGTACCGTGAGTGCGACAAGTGCAACAATTAGCCCAATTTTGGCAGCTTCAGCAGTATGTGGACTATTGAATTGCAACTCATGGAGTGAACTTGGGTTCAACCCTCCAGTGATGTGTTTCACTATCTTAACTCCATGTTTATCTGCTCTTGTCAAGAAAACTAGTAATGTTGACATTATTACAGACAGCAGTGGTGCCATTGCGGCTAACCAGAACAGTTTCTTGTACTTTCTTGCCTGAAAATATCAACATTGTGTTCGAAAAATGATAAATGTTCTCAAGTATATATAGACCAAAACACAAGGTAGATAATATTTTATGTCAGAAGCGAAGCCAGAATTTTGGGGCCATTTGATTGATGGACAAAGTTGTTCGGGGATTATAGTCCTGAACTCCTGATATTATAATTTTTGGACTAATAACATCAAGTTGAGTGCGATAAGGTGGGATATTAAGGATTAAGGTTGGGATTAAATTTGTACCTACACGTTTGGATGAATGTATAAATTCATCCCAGACTAAATTCATACTTTCAACCAAACAAAGTATAGTTTTAATCTCAAACTTAATCTTGAAATTTTCACAACGACCCATTAAAGTTTATGGGTTCTTCCTTCTAAATTTGCCACATATAGTCACAATATAGAGTGATTTTTTAAATAAAAATACAAAATTTAAGCAAAGATTAATGATTCATTCCAACTCGTGATCAACTCTATCCCTGCTCCTATTCCAAATAACTAAATTATCACAATTTTTGATAGTATTTTTTTTTCCTACAACTTTTTAAGAATTACGCCAATACTATCACAACTTTACATTTAATCCGCTGAAGTTGAGCTTCTTCGTTCAGTCTGTGATGGACTAAGAGTAACAGATAAGATCCGAGTCGGATTCAAAATTTAAATTTTATGAGTTAATCTTTTAAGATTTTTCTTACTGAAATTTATTAAAATTTTATAATTATATTCGGATTCAAAAATAGGGTGAGTGAAACTACAGCTATAAAAAAGGATATAGCTACTTGCCAGATAGTACTTGGTAGAAAGGATGAAGATCAGAAATGAACTCCCAATTATAAAGCTATGAAGATTCAACTGCCAAAAAAACACAAACATTAAAATTAGCTGTTCTAATATATTGTATAGCTAATATAAAAAATATTGTAATTGAGAATTTACAGTGTTGATTGATTTGCAAATAGAAGCCAAGACAGAGATAATATCTGTGTTGTTTGTAAAATTTGAAATCCCAAGCAGTGATTTGAGCTGTTGTAGTCCAATGACACAAGCAGCACCAGCCATAAAACCAACAATAGCAGCATGTGACAGAAAATCAACCAAAAATCCCAACCTGTTATTAATCAGTGGCCGAGTCAGAATTTGGAGGTAAACATAAAAAAGTATTTTGGACCTTATATATGTAGTGTAATTCTTTTTACCTAAGTAGTCCAAAAGCAGCTTGAAAAACACCGGCAAAGAAGGTAACAGTGAGCACGAGTTTTCGATATGCAATTGGATTAGTAGTAGGATCTTCAAGTTTCGGAACCATTGAGGACAAGAGTAATGAAACAACAGCAACTGGTCCAATTGCTATATCTCTTGAACTCCCCATCATAGCATAGATAAGCGGCGGAATAACACTTGTGTCTGATGAGGAATTAATTGTGAGTAATATGTTTTTAGTCTAAATTCATAACCATAAAGAATCACACTTACACAGGCCATATTGAGGATCAAGTTTTGCAAGAGTCGCGTAGCCAATGCTCTACATGAATAACGAAAAGATCAATATGTTGAAACAGGACAGATGTTATTAGAGTAAATTAAGTTTACCTGAGGGATGCAAAGGCTTGCAAGAGTTAAACCAGCCAAGATGTCCCTTCTGAATTTTGTGACATTATATTCTTTACACCAAGAAAGTGGTGGAAATATAACGTTCAGAATCGAAACGAGTGCAGAAACAGGATGCTTTCCAAGGCATTGAATCTTGTTTTCAAGAGGACAGAGTAGTGTTTTTTTGAATGAAGTTTTCAGATTAGATAACAGTCCTGGTGGTTCGGGCACATTAAGTACCCAATCGCGCCTTCTATCAGAAGCAACGGGTGTTTGAAGTGTTTGGGAGAACACAGAAAGTTGTACTTTCTCACTATCAGCAAAAGACTGAAGTGTTCCGGAGAACTCTTTTGTGTTTGATGGATCAGTAATTGGTGTAAACTGTGAAGACTCTGTCTCACCTTCTCTTGTTACCGCCATTTTTCTTCGTCTCGTTTCGTTTCTATTTACACAATAAATATAAGTTGCAAGATGAAGTTAATAGCTTGCTAAGGCTTCAAAGTGAATTGAAAACCTTTAACAGAGCTCAAGTTTTTCAGACCATACCTTCCAACTATTTAAAAGGCTTCATCAGCTTTATTAATTTTCTGAATAAAATTTATTCTAAACAAAAGTGTTTCACTTATTAAAAAAACGTATTTTTTCTTTTACTTTAGCATCCTTTCAGGGCTAGTAAAGGGATTTGACTTGCGCGTAACAGAAATGAGTTGCAAGGTAAATTACCGCAACAAATAAGAAAAATATGCTCTTTAACTGATATTTATGTCCTTCAATTTTTGTGTGTGCATAAATAGACATTTAAACTTGTGTAAAATTGAAAAAAGTTCACACACGTGTCCTATGTTACATAATAAATGTAGGACGTCATGCAAGACAAAAGACTTTCATGTAGGACGAATGTATCCCTTTGTTCAATTTTTATACAAATTTAAGTGTCTACTAGTCACACCCAAAGTTAAAGTTTATACTTGTCAACTGAAGTCAAGTTAAAAGTCATGTTTATCTATTATGCCTAATTTTAACTAGTTATTATATGTTTCACCTGCTTTTACTACAAAATGGTTAGCACAGTTGTTACTTTACGTTATGCTTGCTCCTAGTTTATATAAAAAAAAACATGGTGAATTGCGAAACACAATACACCATTTGCCAAAGAAAAGTAATATTTCTCATTAGATACTTTCATCACCACTTATAAATAAAAATAGATATTTTAGTTGTTAACAAAATAAGCAAAAAAAAAAAAAAAAAGAGATAAAGTGAGAAATACTAGAGAGCATCAAACAAGCTAAGTGTCACAATTCGAGCCTACACCTGGCCGGCACTCGAGAACCACTCCTATACCTCAAGAGAATCCTCATTCTGATTGACTACAAGCAGAAGACTAACTTGAGCCTACACAAACATCAAATTTAAAGAAACGTTTAAAACAATTTATTGAATTTCAAAATTTTACTGAATATACTAAGTATGAAATATAAGTTTTAAAGAAAACCTCTAAAACTGAAAGACTCTCAACTATTATTCTATGAAGCCTTTAATATACAAAGATGAGTGTTGGAACAAGACCTACAACTCTTCAAAAGAACTATTACTAACAACTCATAAAACTAGAGTACTTTGAAAGCAATGAGGTTTCACTCAGCAGACAGGCGGATGAAGTGATCTCAACAAACTCTTGTTCAGGATCCTAAGAACTTGTATCTGCATCATTAAAAGATGCAGGTTAAATGTCATCACTACATTGAATGTGTAATATAGTTGAATAACAAATAACTGAAAGGAAAGACTGCGATAGATAGTAATGTACTTAAACTGAATGTAACGAAATAAAGGCTTTAAATCATTTAAAGCTTTACAAAATACTTTATCATCTCTAAAATCAACATAATAAGTGATATATATCAATACACTTTAACTCTATTGGGAGATTCTCTAACCGACAACCATCACTATGAGCTACATGATAATACAACGCCTTGCCCACACTGTCAGAACTGTTTTGTACCATGCCGGGATATAGGACACCTCAACTAAGTAGATCCACTAAGTTATACTTAAAAAATAATAAAGAATCATCCAAAAAGTATGGTCCTTTACCCAAGTTGGCATATATACATGGTTTATGACTCATCATATATTAATGCTCAATACTACTCTCAATAATATATATTCATGTTCATATGTTTAATTAAAAACACTACTCTTCCTCTTGTTTGAGATAATAGCTCAAACTACTCTCTTAAAAGAGGTAACTGTTCTTGAAATATCTTTTGAACTTATAACTCATTTAGAAATCTCAGTTTCTCTTTTATCAATGTAAAAATTGACAGCTCTGAAAATACATGATCCCATTATGCTCTTACTCAATTTATACTAGAAAACTCTTTCTAAAAGACATATCAAAATTAATTTTAATATGATTATGGTGGCTCGGAAAATCATACTGAATAAACATTGATGGTATATCTGTTGAGTTATGGGTCTTTTTTCCCTTCCTATGTGGATAAATAAAAGCCCAATTTGGACCAATCCATTTTTGTCCATAGGCCTATTCTTATTAGGCAAATATAAGCCTATTTTAGGTCTTATTTTCATATACACAAAGAGTTTTTTTCAGCAGCCAAAGAGAGAGAAAAAGAGCAGTTTTTTGCAATCAAAATTCAGCCCTAACAACCAACTTCAAATTGCGATTCCCGCTATGTTTCTTGTCCGATTGAGCTGATTTTTGGACAGCATATTATCTTCATCTCAATCTTTGACTAGAACTGACAGAGTTGGATTTGGTGGCCTGCAGCTTCAGTTTTTTGTCGTGAACAGTAGCTGCGAAATTGGTGATTTTGCTCCTTTAATTCTCTAGATTTGGTGCAATCCTATTTTGTTGTTGCTCGTTGTTTGACACTTGTTTTATGGCCAATTTTGGAGAACAATATTATAACTCTTGGTGATTATAGTGGAGCTTTTGGTCCCGTGGTTTTTTACTCTTCACATCGAAGGGTTTTCCACGTAAATCTTGGTGTCTTGTGTGATTGGTTTATTATTGTCTTGTTATATTTGTTTGATTGAATTACTTGCTGCCTTACTATCATATTGCTTGTGGTTGTTTGTCTTCTCTTGGTTCAAATTGAAAAAGGGAAAGTATAGACTTGGGTATTCTTCCGCTGTTATCCTGTCAGACATTCTTTGTTAGTGCCTTGTCTTTCCCAACAAAGTGGTATCAGAGCATTGGTTATTGTTGATTGTCGTTTTGAATGATGGAGGCAAATATGAGAAAAATGGTGTGTTTAAATGGTAGTAACTATCATATTTGGAAAGGTAAGATGAAAGATCTTCTATTTGTCAAGAAGATGCATTTACCTGTGTTTGCTTCTAATAAGCCTCGGTCTTTGAATGATGAAGAATGGGAATTTGAGCATCTACAGGTTTGTGGATATATTAGACAATGGGTTGAAGATAATGTTAGAAATCATATTGTGAATGAGACAGATGCCAAAAGTTTATGGGACAAGCTCGAGACACTTTATGCTTCGAAGACTGGCAACAACAAGTTGTTCCTATTGAAACAATTAATGAATATCAGGTATAAAGAGGACACTTCTATTTCTGATCATATTAATGATTTTC